TCTGTACTCTCAAAGACATCCACTCTTTCAAAGTCATCAGCTGTCATTGAGCAAGGAGATTATAGGAACAATGTTCTGGTACCTGGAATCATTCAAGTAGATGGCCATGGAGGACAGCCATCAAAACTTGTGAAGAGGAGTCCTGGAAGAAAACCCAAGGGAGATGTGAATACCAGTAGTGGTGAAGTGATACACAAGAAAAGGGGACAAAAGCCCGAAAAAACCACAGTATGCAAAGTGAGAAAATACAGAGCAGAATAATTTGCATCCCAGCCGAAATGAAGTGATTCCTTCTTCAACATGCAATTTTCTGCCTGAAACTAATATTGTTAAGGAGGATTTGCTACAGAAAAAGAGTCAGGGAGGCAGAAAACCCAAAAGGAAGATAAAAACACAAAAACTAGATTCAGATCTCCTAGTTCCTGTCAATGTTAAAGTACTAAGGAGAAGTAACCAAAAAAGACTGATGATCCTATTATAGATGAAGAAGAAGAGTTTGAAGCACTCAAAGGCTCTGAACCCCACATGAGAATGCAAAACCAAGATCGAAGGACAGCTTTCTATAACAAGGATGACTCTGAAGAGGAGCAAAGGCAGTTGTTTGAAGACACCTCTTTGACTTTTGGAACTTCTAGTAGAGGGCGAGTCCAAAAGTTGACTGAAGAAGCAAAAGCTAGTTTAATTGGTTGGTAACTTGAACCAAAATATTTTACTTCAAAATCTATAAAGCAGGTACAGTTAAGGAGTAAGTAGAACTAAGGCTTCTGCTTCCTTGCTGCTCTGGTGGATCAGAGAATGTTATGATTTGACTTGCAAAACTTAGAAGACACTTCACTTCTTTAAATGAATATATAAAAATATATACATATATATTTTAAATATTTGCTATTTATTGCCCTTAGATGGGTTATACATTTCCACATTCATTTCATTCAATGTTTGAAACAAAAGAAATTGAGGACCTATTGAATTCCTGATTTATTTATGGAAGAGACAGTTCTGCTACATGCTTACGGACATAATATCCCTAGTGATAGAGCATTTCAAGTTAAAAAGAATTATTTTTGACCAAGCAAGGTACATTTTTATTGACACAGAAGTCATGCCCCTAGGAAGACATGTTACACAGAGTAGTGGTAAATTAAGAAATGTGTTTCCTCTCAAGGTAAATAGAAAGTTCTCACTATTTAATATCCTAACAACCTTTAGTTGTAGAATGCTCACCTACGAAGGTATCTAGAAGAGGCTTTTGCTTTATTCCACTTCTGCCAAACTTAAGAGAAAATATACTGATGAAAAGAAAACATATCCACATTGGAAAATATTTGGCTGTCTAATTTTTCAGACCTTGATTCTTGTATCAATCACTCAATCTCTGTTTATTGTGCCAAAGACTGAAAATTAGTTCAGTGGAGAGCCTGTTTTTGACTGTCAGGACAGCATACACTTTTCAATATTAGAAAGGCTATTTATTCTAAAGAGCAAGTTTTTAAAGAGTTATGGTGAGATATATCTTGGGGGGGGGGTATTGAGTAGAACATAATGCACTGGTGGGTCCTTTGACAGAGAGGTCTGAGAGAAAATGTTTAAGTGGTTAAAAGATTCAAGGAAAATACAGGAAAAAAGGTATGAGATTTGATGTTTACTTGTTGATCGGGATTAATGTCATTTCTAAACTTTAGACATATCTGATAGGCTAAAATGGCTTACAAAGAAATGTGTCTGTGTGTGTATGTGTATATATTGATAGATATAATTAAATATATATACAAACACATACTTATACACTGTTACCCAGGTATAAATTCTTTTTTCAGGATTTTTTATATAGTTGTAGATAAAAATAATTTTTAAATGTCATACTTTATAATTTTAATTTTAAGGGAAGGATTAGTTATTTTCAATTATTAAAGGTTAAAATAGGCCAAATCACTTTTTATGCAATCATGTTTTATACGGTGGTCTCATTGCACATTGTGTTTTTCTGCACTTTTTATGGTATCCTTATCACGTTGGTATGTCAATATACACCCTAAAGAAAACTCCATTTAATGATTGTGCCTTGTATTCTATTATTTTTTGCATCATTCGTAAAATTTAAGTTGTCTATTGTAAATGATAACTATATGACTTAGGAGAATGTATTGCTATATGTACTGCTATGGAAAAGGAAAGCAGTTATTTATTTGTTTATGGTACAGTTAGTTATTTTATACTTTAAAACCCAACATAAATACCATTTCTATTGTTTAAAAATTATTCTCCATTTTTTTAAAAGTTTAAAGAATGTGGTATTTTCTGAGGACTGATATGGTACAAAAATGTAACCAAAATTTTCAGATACTACATTTTAAAAAAATAAGAATGGGGAAAATATGTATCAGCATGACTCTGATGTAGAAAAAAAGTCTTTAATTGAACTGTCACCAAAAAATGGGCAAACAAAAATGAATATAAATTTCACAGAAGAAGTAATACAAATGACTAATAAATATATGAAGAAATGCTCAACATCACTGGCCATTAGAGAAATGCAAATTAAAACAACACTGAGATTCTATCTCACCCCAGAAAGAATGGTCATCATCAAGAAATCCAGTAATAACAAATCTTAGAGAGACCGCAGGGAAAAAGGAATCCTTCTACACTTTTGATGGAAATGTAAGCCAGTATAACCACTATGGAAATCAGTATGGAGATTCTTCAAATATCTGAAACTACAAATTCCATTTGACCCAGTTACTCTCCTTCTAGGTATCTTCCTAAAGTGTTAAAGACATTATATTACAGAGATGCATGCATGTCCATATTTATAGCAACACATTCATAATAGCTAAATCTTGGAAGCAGCCTATATTTCCATCAACAGATGAATGGTTAAGGAAAATGTGGTATTCATGCATCATGGAGTACTACTCTGTTGTGAAAAGGGATAGTCTTGAGTCATTTGTAGGAAAAGAGATCCACCTTGAGACAATAATATTAAGTGAAGTAAAACACACAAGCTTAACTATCACATGGTATCTCCTATGTGAGAAACTCAGAATAAAAATAAAGAGCAAAATAAAAGGTAAATAATAGGAAGTAGGGAGATAGATTGTTGTTAGAGGGGAAGGGGTTCCAAAGATGTAAGGAAAGGGAAGGAAGGGGAGGTAAAGGGGATGAAAAAAAGAAATTGGGATGTGTTCTATACCTGTACCAACTCCACGTAAGGAATATAGAGATTATGTGCTGAAAACATGTACAAAAAAAAAAGGAAAATATCAAGGGATGAATGGGGTGGAGAGGCAGAGAAAGGAAAAGGGATGAAAAAAGGAATTAAGAATGTGTTAGGTGCATATAACAACTTCCCTCAAGGAATGTAAGCATTGTACACTGCACATGTGCGCTAATAAACTAAACTGAGTATCCTTGTTCTTGTCTTCCAATTTTACCCTTCTCCTGAGATGTCTGTTTTCCTATTTTATTTTTCTTGCTATTTCTTTATCTCCTCTTTATGCTTTTCTGTCTTTTATCTTGTGGATCTCTCTCTCTCTCTTATTTTCTTTTTTCTTTTCTTTACTCCTTCTTTCTCCCTCTCTCTTTGGCCCACCCCTTTTCTTTAGAAGAGTAAAAACATGATAATTAGTGGGGCATAGGGAGGAAACATTGATTCCAGGCTGAGTCGAACCTTCAGAGAGTATCTGTTCACGTCATACTGCTTTGAAAATAGGAAAGACAATTCGATTTGAGAGCTTCTATCATCAGCTACAATTTAGAATAGGCCATAGAGAAGAGAAATATTCTCAGTTATGGCTTCAGAACCAGCTGCATGAGAGGACCTGAAAAATGTTCCACTTATTGTTCTTGAATTGTTTTACCCTTTTAAGTCTTAAAACATCAGTGAGAGAGTAGATGTAATGTCAGCATGAGTGAACCTAAGCAATGCAGGGACAGATGTGGTAGGGGACAGATGTGTTCTCAGCTCACCTCAACTACACCTGAAGATGCAAACTCACAGGACATTTTTAATCCATTTTTTTAAGTTGAGGTAGAATTTACACCATATAACATCAGCCATTTTAAGGTGAATAATTCAGTGGCATTTTTAGTACATTCACAAGGTGATGTAACCACCACTTCTGTAAAAGCCATTTCTTATCATTCCAAATGAAAACCCTGTACCCATCGGCAGTCACTCCCTAGCTTCCCCTCTCCCATTCCAGCCCCTGGCAACCACTAATCTTCCTTTGTGTATCTCTGGATTTACTTGTTCTGAACATTTCATGTAACCAGCATCATACGGTATGTGCCCATTCATGCCTGGCTTCTTTCACGTAACATCATGTTTCTGAGGCTCATCCACAGCGTAGCATGTATTGGCTCTTGTTCCTTTGTATGTCTGAGTATCATCCTGGCAGCCTCCCATCTCTAGCGGCAGAGTCCTCCCTTCTCTGGTGTGAGTTTTCTCAGGCTCCCTGGGAGCTTTCTCAGGCTGCACGTGGAACAGTTTGGAAGAGTGAGGGATTTAAGGCCCTAGGCATCCAGTGGAGGGAAGAAGATCATTAGCTCAGCTTCCTCATCACTGGAAGCAGATAAACACTTGGAGGCCTGTTTCCCACGGTTCACACGGCTCCTTTAAAGGTGCCCAGCAGGACCGCAATGCAGTTTCCCACATTGGTAACCACTCACAATTGGCTCTCCTCCCTTCCCTGAGTCATTCACCCACTCCCTACCATGTGCTTCTTGGGAGTTCTTCCAAATAAACTACTTGAACTCAGGACTTTGTCCCAAGGTCAGTTTCTAGGGCATCCAAACTAAGGCAACATTCATGGGCTCTTGCTTTAAGAGTTTTACCATTTTTTAAAGAAACAGAAGGTTAACATCTCTAGAGCGCTCAACTCTCAAAGTTCGGCTTGTCCTCATTCTATTAAATGATGTCACTGAAAGCTTCAGTGAGCTCTATTCTCTGCAAAGTCTAAATCTACAAAACAGACATGAATTACTCAGCCCCAAAGTCATAGGACTAAACCAAGTACTTTATTGGAAATAAATGGAAGCTTCAGAGGGATAACCAGGGAACTCTGGAAGAGGGAGATGAAGGGGTGAGCATACATAGAAGCAAGATCCAAACAGAAGAAATTATGTACGACAAGAAGTGGGGATGAAGTAAAGGAAGGCAGGTCTGAGGGTTCACTGCTGAGAACAGCCAAACTTTTCTTGGAGTGCTAGGAGTGGAGCAGTAAAAGCCCATCTGGATCATCAGTCAAGTGCACACAGTCGGGAGCAGGAGCCAAATCCCAGTGGTTGTTCCGGAGTGTGAAGAGACTCTGCATGAAGAGACTCTATCCTTGTGTGAAGAGACTCTGTTGAGGACGTAAGTGTAAGATGAAACTGGATTTTGAAGTTATGTTTATGCATCTTTTTGTGGGAGGAGATTTAAAGTGGGTTTGTGTAGGGGAGCTATCAGTTTCTTTCAAGGAAAACTGAGTGAGGTTGTATTGCTCGCAAAGAGCTGTGATGAGGAAGTTGATGTCCTGGAATTGTTGGTTGGTCAATGTGTCCAGTACAAGGCTGGACATTCTGTGATCCTTCTGCAGTGGGCCTCAGAGATTTTGCCACCTTTGCATTCTTACTCCACCCCTCCTAAGTCCCATCATACTTGCTAGCTTTGCTTCATCTCCACATCCTTTCTCATGCTTAGTTCCCCAAAGTCACTATCTCCTTTCTGCAAGGTGAATTCTTACTTCCTGATTACAGCTGGTGCTGTAGCACTGGGTCTGCCAAGGAAATGGCTATCCTGCAATGGACCAGCCAACACCCAGACCTCCTTAGCATGGTTCTGGTTAAAATGAGAGACTGGGGCCCCAAGACTCACTTTTCTTCCACAGAAGTTCTGGCAGATGCCTTTGGTTTGGAAGTTGTTACTGTTTCCACGGCAGCCACCATAGATGAAGAGGTCACAGGTATTATTTTCCTTATTATACCACCAACGACGAAAATAAGCCATGCAGAGGCCCTTTTCTTTTGGCAGACTGCATACATCTGTAGGGAAACCCCAGAGTTGAGATTTCAGTGCTTACTCCAGAACAAAAGGTGTTGATGTTCTCCCTGGCAACCAGCCTAAATGAAATTGGAACAGGCTCTCTTTCCCTATCACACTGTGGGAGCCCAGCTCCATGAACATACTGCACCTACTTACAAGGAGACCCCAGAGGGGGTGTCTGCATCCCCAGAGATAGGATTGTTGCTGTGTAACTCGTTAAGATGGTATCATATTGAAGTGGGGGTGGGTGCCTCATCCAGTATGACTAGCATCCTTATAAAAAGGGTAGATTTGGGCAGAGACACACATGCAGGGAGAATGCCACATGAGCGTGAAGGCAGAGATCAGAGTGATGTGTCTACAAGCCAAGGAATGGCAAAGATTGTCAGCTACCCACCAGAAGTCAATAGAGAGGCAAGGAACAGGTTTCTTCCGCATAATCCTGTGAAGGGACAAACCCTGCTGACACTTTAATGTCAGACTTTGAGCCTGCCAAACTGTAGGACAACACATTAATTTTAAACCACCAATCCACAGTACTTTGTTGCAGCAACCCTAAAACGCTAATATAGGTCCCAGCTAAAATGAGATCAGTGAAAGCGAAGTCTCTGCAGCTAAATAATGAAGTCTTGTTGGTTTCTATCTTCTAATATCTCATCTCTCTGTCAGTCCCTTTAATTTTATTCTCAGCATCTCACACTTGAGGTGTTGAGCTAGCATCTAATTGATGCTCCTGCCTCCAGTGTTGGTCCCTCTGATTAATCCATCATGCACCTCCCCAGGGAGAAGGTTCTGATGGATCTAAAAGGCAAGCTGATCATGCCATTCCATAGATAATACCTACCTTGACTCCATGACAAAGTCCTCCCATAACTCACAAGACCCTTCATCTTCTGGCTCCTACTCATGGCTCTGGCCTCGCCCCCTTGAAGTTACATGCTTTGGCAATATTCAACCCATCGTGTGACCATCCATCTCCACATCTTTGCACTGCTATATGCCCACTGTTGCTCAGTGTCATTAGTGACACTCCTATTCTTCCTTCAAACCTTTTTCAGATTATCAACTCCTCTGTGATGTCTTTCCTGACTCCATTCTACATCCCAACCTCTGCAGATACCTAAATCAAGCCTGCATTTCCCCACCTTGCTTCTTAATCCTGTATGTTCATGTGCCTTTTGTTTATATCTTTGGTCTCATTTTCTAGATTATCTCTGGTGAGGAGGGATTGTACCTGATTTCATCTTGGCCTGGCACAGTAGAGAGCCTTATGGAATGCTGAGGGTAAAATAAAAAGTATCCTGGCCTGGCCGGGGATTTAGCTCAGTGGCACTGTGCCTGCCTCACAAGTGCAAGGTCCCAAGTTCAATCCCTGGCACAAAAAAAAGTATCTTGCCTGAACTGAAGAAGTCATTCTTTTAGCATCTACTATGAACTAAAAGCTTTATGGAACAAAGAAAAGGCATGGTCTCTGCTATTTATGAGCTCCCAGACAAGAATGACAAATGAAGTTAATAGGTATCAGATGGCTATTATGTGCCAGACATTGCCCAAAGTACTTCATGAACATTGATTTATTTGGTCCTCAAACCTTTAACAGTGGTTAATGTATTATCTGAAGAGATTAAGGTAAAGCCAAGGAAAGTTGTAAATTTGCACAAGATAAAACAGCTGGTAAAAACTGGAGCTCAGATTTGAACTCAGGAACTCTGGGTTTGGAATTCCTCACCTGCAGGCATACAAATGGCTCATGAGCCTCTTGCCTTCCTACTCTGTTCTTTTGACAAATTCTGGGTACCTACCTCCTAATTACCTTTCAAACACATCCCGCTCTTCACTACCCCTCAGCTGCCTCGTTAAGGCTATCATTTTACTTCATTTTAAAGTCCTTCATTGCTCCAATTTCCCTACCATACCTGGAGGTATAGTATAAACTTGATAATGTCACTTCCCCCACTCATAGAACTCATAGAGCTCTATGGTTCTAGGATCAAGGTGAGACTCTAATCTGGCCCACCAGACCTGAAATGTTTAATCTTTTCCATTCTAGGCTATTTTCTCCTTTCACCAAGCCATGCTCTCTGGGCCTCACCACTGAGCCTTTGTGCACGCTGTTCCCTGTGCCTCTTTTTTTTCCTCCCTCAAACATTACCCTTCATTCTGAATTCAACTCCAGGCTTGCTTTTCAGAGATGTCTTTTCCATCTTCCCATACCACAGTGAGCAGGTCAAATCCTACCGTGGATGCTATCATTTGGATATGGCTGCAGTATGTCCTCCAACTGAGGTTCACACTGGAGAGTTTTGGCCCAGAGGTGGCAGTACCTTTAAGAGGTGACACCTAGTGATAGATTCTCAGGCTAGTGTAGGGCATGCCCCCAGGAAGGACTGTGGGTCCTCAGTATCTCTCTTGGCTTCTGTTAGCTGTGATCTCTCTCTTCCTCGTGCAATCCACCACCTGCCTTGGGGTACTTGCCAGAGACCGTACCATGGTGTTTGGACTCAGACTCCAAAATTCTGAGTGAAATAAACCTCGTTTTTTCACAGAGTTAACCTACCTTTGGTATTTCATTAGAGAGATGCAAAATGGACTGACGTAATGGGTCCCAGAGGCACAAGTAAATATTTGCTAAATAAATGCAGAATTTTTGACAGTCTTTTTTGGAATCCAGGGTGATGGGCATGGAGTTAACACTGCAACAGCAAAGGAAAACCCCTCTGTTCTGGAGTGGTCAGGGCAGGTTTCCTGACAGAAAGTTGAATCTGGATAGGTAGAAAGGAAGTAGCTCAAGAACAGAAAGCTAGGAAAGATGGATTGCTTGATTTGTCACTTGCAGCAGCAATGTTGCTATGCGTTAGGAAAATAATGACTACCTGGGCTCTCAGAAAATCATTAGAGTGAAAAAGAGCCAAGAAACCATCAGACTGAATCCCACTCCTGTACCTATCATTTGTTTGGAGAAACTGGGGCCCAGGCATTACCTGACAGGATATGAACATTACTAACGTTACACACCATATTAGAGGCAGAGGTCTCCCAAATCTAGCAATCTCATCCAAGACCAGCCCTCAGTGACCCAGGTGTCAGTGCTAACCTAGTGGGCAGAAGGGGAGGGTCTGAGGAGAGAGAACGGTTATTTGGAGATTCTGAATGTTACCTTGTTTGAGGCCTGAACACTTTCTTCCACCGCTGAAGACACAACACTTCTTATTGCCCTCGCACCGGCTGTCCTTCTTGCATATGTCCCTTTCTGTGAATTCATAGTTCTCTCTGATTCTGGGGCATTTCCCTAGGGAAGGAAGAGTCTTACAGCCTCGAGCCTTGGAGGGAACAGTGCCCATCCTTCTCCAGACCCAATTCCAGTGGCAGGGAACTTTCTTTTCATTTTGTTCACCTCCAGGAGTCTTTTTCTATGATTCCCTCATGTAATTCCCATCACTACCGTACTACCTCCCCTCCTGGGCACCCTCACTCCCAACCTTCTTAGCCCCATCCCTTGACCCACTTCCAGCCCTGGCCCTTCTGAGGCAGAATTTCTATACCACTAGTGGCATTTGGTCTGGGTAAATCTTGGCTGGGAGCAGACATTGTGCTGTGCACTCTGGGATGCTGAGTAGCATCCCTAGCCTCAACCCACCATAAGCCTGTGGCATTCCCCTCCTGCACTGTAACAACAAAAATGTCTCCAGACATTGCAAATGCCCCCTACAGGATAATTGCCCACCCTTCAGCCACTGGTTTGGGCTGATCTGGTCTTGTTGGCCTTGCTGAAAAGCCAGGGTTTGTGAGGTCCTCCAGGAGGTGATATTGTACCGTGATTCCTGGTGCACTAGAGTCAGTTCAAGTTTTGAATTCTCATGCTGGTCTTTCACTTGCCCTCTCTGAAACATAGTTTCTTCCCTTATGAAATCATTTTGGCCTTACAGACTTGTGAGGAAGAAATGAGACAAAGGCTGTAAAACTCTAGTCATAGTAACTGAGGCACAGTCAATTAACCAACATTTGTTAAGCCACACACTCTTCCTAGCATTGTAAATGCATCATCTCATTTAATCTCCATCACAGAGCTATGAAGTGAATTCTAATCATCCTATTTTACAGATGAGGAAACTGGAGCACATAGAATTTAAATAACTTGCCTGTGGTTCGTGGCTACCAGGATTCAACCCACTGAATCTGACACAGGGCGCTCTTTACTTTTTAAAATATTTTCTCAGAAATCTCTATTTTCTGAGTGCTCACCAAATGCTGGAAACTATCATTACTAGCCACACTTGGTGATGCAGGCCTGGAATCCCAGCACTCTGGGAGGCTGAGGCAGGAGGATCACAAGTTCGAATCCAGCCTGAGCAACTTAGCGATTTAGTGATACCTTGTCTCAAAATACAAACTAAAAATAATCTGGGGAGGTAGCTCAGTGCAAAGGCCCTAAGTTTAATCCCCAGTATCACAAAAATTTATTATTATTACTGTACAGTAATGAATTATTCGTGTTTTACATTTCAAAAGACTACTAGTATTAGCATTTATCTCAAAGTCAAGAAACCCCTGGCAATATGGAGACACTTCATAGGACTACATTTGAAAGAACCAGAAACTAAATACGATGCCCCAAGAAAGGAGTCTGTCATGCTGGTGGGGTGCCAGGAAGGTCCCTTAGTCTTCTCAGATTGCTATGGTCCCTCCCATAAATGCTAGATTTTGTGACTCTTCCTCACCTCCCCAAGAGGACCCTCCAACTTCACAGGGGCCGAGAGAAACAACTGCCAGATCTGGATTGCTGCGTCCACAGAAGGGATCTAAAGATCTCCCTCCCTCTCTCCCAGCCCAAGGCCAGAGGCTAAGATGGAGCAAAGCAACTCACATCTGAGGAATTGTTCCCTGTTCCTCTCCTCCTGGCAACCTGCCCTCTCTAGGGCAAGAGTGGAGATGCAATGCTTCCGGAAAGAGTGCCAGGGAGCAGTTTCCTGAACATTCGCAAAGAGCATGAATACCACGAGGATGCTCAGAAGTCCAGACGATTCCATTCGGAAGAAGGGCTGGCCTGTCTGATGGTTCCAGAACATGGAAATGTCTGGCTTCTTGGATCCAGCCTATTTCCTCAGTAGTCGGTACCTTGGCTATGAGAACTGGAGGCAAGCCAGCCACCCCCCTTCTTGTTGGGAACACCAAGTTCCTGAGGTCACAAATAGGACTACTTGGCATCTACAGCTCACAGCTCAGGGAGAAAGATCTCTTATTGGATAATCAGTAATCCCCAGGACTCCACTGGGCTAAGCCTTCTGGTCAACCAGTGGGGGGGGGGGGCAGATGGGGGGGGACTTGTTTCACACTTTCCAGGCTCCCTTATGTGTGAATGTCTTCCTCTCAGGTCTGTATCTTGATAAGTCGGAGAGTTGCGGAATGTCCTCCTCATTCATTTTCCATTTTACATGCACACAAACTACCACACCCCTTTTGTTTGTCTCTGACAGTATCCTTATTGATCTCTTGGTATCTCTGTTTCTTTGGACCTCACTGTGTCTTTTGTCTTTTTCTCCTTTTCTGTAGGTCTCCCATGGTCTCTGTGTTCCTTTCTCCTTCTCCCACAGTTTCTTCCCACTGTTCTCCCTTTTATCTTTCCTTTGGGTCACTCAATTCTTTGACTGAGGCCAAAGAGTAAAGATGTTGCCACAGAGTAGGGTGTTGGGAGGAATCAAGCTGTTAACAGAGTCTTCAGATAGTGTTTGTTGCAGTTGTGTTGCTTTGAGGGCAAGAGAGGACGTAAGCACTAGCTTACTGGGAACCTCTACCATCTGAGGCCAGCTCCTTGTTGTCTGACGAGAAACTATGATGAAAAAGCCTGCCTGAAAGACCACAATCTAGTCAACTTCAAAAACACAGCAAAGTTGCTGGAATATAACTGGGCTACCTGAAAGAGGGTGCTGGAGCACTTGGGCAGCTTTCTTACAGCCACAAATACAAATATCAGCCTCTCAGGCCAGGGATTTAGCTCAGTGGTTCTGCCACCTGCCCCACAAGCACAAGGACCCGAGTTCAATCCCCAGTACCAAAAACAAAAACAAAACAAAACAAATACCAGCCTGTCAATGAGTCCTGGTACAGGGAAAGACATTCTTCAAAGACCAAATGACATCTTTAAAGCTCCCATTTTCTTTCTTCAGTAGGTGTTGCCTTATTTTGCTCCTGGCTGTCCCTCTTAATCTACTTCTAGATTCTCCTAAATTCAGCCCAGGAGAGAGTGAAAACCTGGAATGTCTAGGTGGAAGTGCTCTGAGGAAACAACAAGCCCTGGGACTTTATTTTATAGACAGGGATCGTAAGACCCAAAGAAGTAAGAACTCTGACTAAATGTCACCCATCATCAGAGATAAGGGGGTACTGAGCATATAAATTCTTTCCAGGGGCCATTAAGGAATCTTTTGATTGATGTGGATATAATATTTTATTGAGGATTAGAAGGTAGAGAGGAATTCTTGAGTTCAAAGGGAATGAAAGACATGTCTTTAGTAGAAAGAGAGAGTCTGAAGATTCAGTTGATTCATTGACGAACGGTTCTCAGGGCTTCCATTTAAAGCTGCATTCTTCTCTAAATTTTCTTGAAAATAAACTAAAACTCTTTCTGTTTGCTCTGTCACATTTGGTCTTGTATAATTTCCAGGCCTATCTGTGGGTCTCACTCTCTAAGAAAGCAGACAGTGTCTTTGGGGTCTCAGATGAATCGTGATTTTGGCCCTTTCTACTAGCTGATTTCTTGGAGAAAGCTGGCTAAGGACCCACTTAGATCTTTGTCCGTGTTCTTTCTCTATTCTCATTGAAGGTTATGGCCCTTCCTCTGTCTCGGGCCCATTTCTGTTTAGAACAAGTTATGTGCTAAGAATGAGGGCTCCAAAGAGAACCAGGGCACACTGGTTTCTACCTATAGACTCCTGCCTGCTCGTTAGACCAAGACCTACTACATAGGCTGCTTTCTTGCCACTGGCTTTTTATGTTGTTCCCAGTGATTCTCACTGAATTGTTGATTTGCACATCTGTTACATCCAACAGGCTCTGAAGTGCATTAAACATGCCTGTGTCTAGAATCTAGTGCTTAGAACATGAAAAGGCCCAGAATAAATAGTATATACTGCTAGAAAGGCAAGGTAGATGGAGGAATTGGTGTGGACAGATAAGCAGATATGTGGATGGATAGGTGGCTGGTAGAATGATGAATGGGAGTGTGGCTGGAGGAGTAGGAAGAGGTGAGGCAACCATGGGTACGTGAGTGCATGAATTCATGAATTTGACGGGTAGATAAATGACTAGATGAAGTAAATTGGATTGAATACAGCATGCCAGTTTTCTGTTGCTGTGAAAAAATACCAGCAATAATAAGCGTATAAGGAGGAAAGATTTATTTTGTTTCCTGGTTTCAGCACTTTCAGCCCATCCTTGCTTTATCCCATTGCTTTGGGTATGTGGCAAGGTAAAACATCTTGGCAGAGTGCAAATGGTGAGCTGAAGCTGGTGTCTTCATTGTGGCTGTGAAGGAGAAAGGAAGGGGCGGTAGTCTAATATACCCTTCAAGGGCACACCCCCTATGTCCCACTTCCTCTAACTCCTAAAGCTTCCACTACCTCCCAGTAGCTCCACTAGCTGCAGACATTTAAGATCCAAACCCTAACCATTAGTGATGGGATGGATATGTCTATTGACTGAGGTTGTCCTGATTGGATTGTGGATACCTAGGTTGGGCGGGGGGGAAGAGGAGATGGATGTAGAAAGGATGGTAAGTATGTCATAGGTGTGAAAGAATGTGTGTGCATGTATGTGAATACATGAAAGAAAAGAGGTAAATAATAGATGGATGGAGTCAAGATTTGACATGAAGTAGAAAACTGATGAGAAGACAATAAGAAGATCGATAGATGAGTGAATGGATGGTAGGCAAACAGGTAAGCTGAAAGGCATGTCAGTGGAAGGATGAGCATATGGGAATTGGGTACCTGAATAACTGATGAGTAGATAAGTGTCTGGAAAGATGATCGTAAGAGTTAAAATATTATCTCAAGTTAAAGATATGAAAAGAATTATGTAAAGAATAATTTATGCTGCTATAAAATACTATATTTAAAAATTTAGAGAAAATTGATCAATTTCAGGAAACTAGAAAAGACCAATTCACAGAGGAGGAGGTAGAGAACTTACACAGAATGTCAGAGGAAGTATTTAAAAACTACTAAAGTGAAACACTATAGAGGAAACCTGACTTAGAAGCTTTGGAGTAGAACTTTGTATAGCCTTCAAAGAACATCACTTTGATATATTATCTTAAAATTTCAGGTCATAGAAAAAGAAACTTTCCTACTTAGTTTTCCTTGCTAATTTTTAAAGTGTTATGACCCAAAGAACAAAATTGAAAAAAACATGGACTAATTTTTCTTTTGACTATAGATGCTAAAATTCTAAATCAACTATTATTAAATGATTCACAGTGTATTAATAACAAGTAGATTAGGGTTATCCTGAAAATGTAAGATGGCTCAACACATGACATTTTTTTTTTGGTACCAGGGATCAAACTTGGGTCCTTGTACTTGCAAGGCAGGCGGTGGAACCACTAAGCTAAATCCCCAGCCCAACACATGACATTTAATATGTTATTGTTTAAGCAAATTAGAAAAGTCATTATGTTGCTAGATGCTTAAAAGATATTTGGTTAAATTCAACATTGATTTCTAGTAGCAGCTATAAATGAATGAATAGGAAATAACTTTAAAGAGAAAATAACCGATGCAATAAACCCTACTTATCCCAAATCCAACAACATATATTTTTTTTGTTCATCAGGATCCATTGACTTTTAAATAAGGAACTAGAAAAGAATTGATGCTATTGCCTTTGTTTTTAATTTTAATATTTTGGTGCTGGGGTTGGAACCAGGACCTACTATGTGCTAAGCACACTCTCTACCACTAAGCTGTACCCCTAGCCCTCACTGCCTTTATTCTCAACATTATTACAGAGGTTCTACAAAGCAGACAAAGATAAAGAAACAGTCATGAGGTTGGAAAAAAAAGACCCAAATTTATCATTATTTAAGGTATAATTATATATAAAACCACAATAACCTCATTAATATTTACATAATTAGAAAAATAATTTGGCAGGGTAGTTAGATATAACACAAATAAAACTGGTAGCTTTTTTATTATGGCACTGAATTGATTTTTATGATATTTTCTACTTACTGTTCAGTTTCGGGGGTGTATGCACTTCAGCCCACAAAATGGGCAGCATTTCTCCTTCAATGGACAATCAGCATCATTCAGGCACAAGGGTTTATTAACATAGTCACATGACACCCGCTTAGCTGGGCAAAAGCCTGCTTTGACTTTATGAGATAAAATAAGACGCTTGACCTTTAAATACTTGAGACAGATTTGGGGAGTCTTGGGAAAGCCAAACAGGGCTTTATTCTGATTAGCCTCTTTCTGTCCCCTACAGTAACAACAGAATGGAGGAGCTTGAGTGTCAACTCTCTATGAGTAATAAGTTAAAGAGCATCCAAAAAGTAAATCTCTGCTATCTTGGATTTATAGCAATCCAACAGGATTCCTGCCTGACACTATAAATTAGTAGATTGGGGTTATATAATCCCAGAGCACCAGAGGTGGAAAGAGTATTAGAGAGCACCCACAGTTTCCTTATCTGCTAAATTGCAGGAATGGAGAAAATTACTCAAAACTACACAAAAGCCAGTGGAAAAGTTGAAGCCAGTTGAAAAGCCTTTGACCCTTGCCACATACTATGCTGTACCTTAAAATGCTGAGAATCCCTGGGACTAGATGAGGGAATTTGTAACTCCAACTCCAGAAGCTGGAAAGTTGGATTCTACATCAAAAGCATTGGCAAGTAGTCTTTTCCCTGCCATATTATAGAATGTGAATTATTAGGGATATACCAATGGCTAAGAATTTGTGTGTACGTGAATCAATAGACATTGTCACTTTGCATGTCATTAAAGAATGGGATTCAGAAAAAATAAATTTTCTTGGAGAAGAATGGAGAGTGATATCATGCATAATTGGCTTTGAAGGACAACACTAGTATCTAGAGGTCAAGTGGTCTACAGGAGAGCACTGATTAGGCATTAAAAGGGGAAAGTTTCCCAAGATACCTCAAAGGTCAACCCTAGGGACTACTGAGGTTCAAGATCACCCCATCTCCCCATTTCATGGATATCCTCACATCCCCGGAATATGCCCAGTAGACTCTGGGAGGCATATCCTCAGTCCTTACCTGTCCAGGCCTTGGCACAAACAAAACCACAACTGCTTTCACAACATTTTTCCTTCTCAAGGCAATCTATGTCACTCTTACATGATGCTGGACACTCTGTTCGAGCATCATAAGGGAAGAGTGGGCATTGTCCTTCCTTGACTAAAAGAAGAGCAGATGTGAATTACTTCAAACTCCGCCCATCCCACCATTCTTAAAACAGATTTTCCTTCTCTTCAAAGGTAGAATCCCTGGATGCAGTGGGCTTCACCCTACCCCATCCACCTCCAGGAGGCTGTGGTGGAATAAAGCATCTCTCTGTCTCATGGAATGTGGTAGAAAGAATGCTGGACTTGGTGTCTGAAGTCCCAGTGTAAAGTCCCGGGCCTATCACTTAGAAAATGACTTCAGTTTCTTTCTGTATAAAATAGGGATAATTATATGAAATGTATACAAATCATTGTCATCCACTTTGGTGGTTTTGCTTTGACTTTGAATAAAATGTGAAGCCATTACAGTATTCTCAGTAGAGGAGTGACATGATCTGACTCATGTTTTGAAATACTCATTATGGTTACTGTTCTGATGATGGACCCTAAGAAAACAAGGATAGAAACAGGGAGCCCTTTTGGTAGGGTGTTTTAGTAACCCAAGTAAGAAGACGGCATTGTTACCCTGAAGAATAAATCCATAGCCTTCACTCTCACCCCACTATATTCACCACCTCCAGTGTCTACACTCACTCTCTTGGATTGCAGAGCTGGCCTGTCTATGTTTATTCTTTGGTGAGTCCGCAGGGTGACGCTCGACAGGTTGATATGATGAGGAAACATTTCCCCTCAAAGAGGTACACCTGGCTCTCAGGTCCTGCTGACTAAAATCTATTAACACCTTATGTACACTGTCTCATTTTTTGACACAACTCCATTAGGTAAATAATATTATTATCCCTCCAGTTCTTGTTGTTGTTTTCAGTACTGGAGCTTGAGCCCAGGACTTTCATACTGTGCTATGTCCTCAGCCCTTTTTTATTTTTTTACTTTTGAGAAAAGGGCTCACTAAATTGTGTAAACTGGGCTCAAATTTGCAGTCCTCCTGCCTCAGACTCCCACAGTTCAGGCACTGCCACCATACCTGGCTATTATCCCCATTTTATAGACAAGAAAACTGAAGGCAGGCAACTTTCCCAAGATGCTCCAGCCCATGAATGACAGAGTTACAGCTTGAACCAAGGAAATTTAACCTCAAGTGCTGAGACTATAACCACACTGACTATTTCAAGTTAAATAATGACCCTAGACTGGCAGTAATATGTGTCTTACCAATTAACATGCAGGCATCCTGGCACTCATACCGGTCCAAGAAGTTATTGACATTTCCTTGGCAGCCACTGTATATAAAGGGTTTGCATTGATATTGTTTAAAGTCAAAATACCAGCGATTCAAATTCTCCTGACAGTTTCCTGTTTTTAATGGTAGCATGCAGGGCTCTGAGGTCAAGAAGAAAAGAGAGAACAAGAATAGAGATAAAAAAGAGTGAGTCAGGACCCTAACCTTTGTCATAGTTCGTGGTGTTACCGTCCAAGTCATAAAAAAAAGTCAGAAAAAGAAAAAAAGACATAGCTTCTAGTCCTAGCTCTACCATTAATATTTTATGTTGTCAAGTACCTCTGAGCATCCCTCTTTTCTTGAAAAGGATGTTATAAAGAACATATTCAAATACTTTGAAGCTGATCTTTCTTCTCAAATGCTTTGAGCATTGAGAAGGAAGGACTTGTTCAGCAACTATATCCAAAGTCCCTAACAAAGTGCCTGATACAATGGAAGAAAAAAAGCAGCCCCTGATGTCTGAAAACTCATCTGACACAGCTGAACCATATTATTCCCGTTAGACATAAAAACTGTCACAGAACATCCATATTGCATAAGACCATGGTAAGACCATGATAAAGTGAGACAAGAAGAAGATAACAATGAAGCTTAGAATACCAAAAGCCTTCTATTCTAGCTAACACTAGTGACTTAGGCTTCTTTACCAATTGCAGCTTTGTCCTCACTATGTGCTCTGTGTAAATAAGATTCACTGAGATACTTGGCCATTGAATTGTCCTTTTTTTCTAGCAGTATCTACTCTAAGACAAATCCCACTTCTTTAGAACCTTTCTCAAACTACTCAAAGCCAAATCCTTCAATAGATTCTAACAGCTTCATTCTGCGATGCCTCTTTGTTGTTTATAGTGAATACTCTGCCTCACTAGAATGAGCAATACATTCACCTTGTCTACCTGCAGGTGTGTCCCTGGTAGTCTTTAGCTAAAGGATACTGATAATAGCTATTTGTTGAATGAATGGATCTCTATAAAATGCACAGTTCCCTATGCATATTAGGTGCCTAATACTTAGTGTTACCAGAAAATTTCCTTAAGGCCAAAGAGTACAAAAATGACCCCAGCATCTAATCTGAGGTTTGATTTTCCCACAGCACCCACAACCATCACTTGACACATAGTTAGCATGCAAATAACAAAAAGTATTTGCTATTTGTGAATGATTGAATGTTGGACCAAGGAAACTGGCATCACTATTATCTAGTTTATGCTCACAAGGCCTAGACTCGTGGTTTATACTTGAAGGTGGAGAGTTAAATTGGAGAATGAGAAAAGCATAAACTTTGGCCTCCTGGTCCTACTATCCAAGAGAAGCATTCAGTCAAGACTGGACAGAGAAAGAAGTGGGAAACCTCAGAAGTCACCTCTGTCCTCAGCCTGGATGGCACTACCTTCGTATGGATCCATGCATCTTTTCCTGCAGCCAAAAAGGCAGCACTTCAGGGAATCCTGGCAGTCAGAATCCATTTTGCACAAATCCAGAAGTTTAGTACTATGGATGAGCCTCTCTTTGGGGCACACTCCTGGTTTCTCTGCAAGAAAAAAATGCTCAAAGTCATATTTCATGGGAGCTCCAGCCTTCTCCCATAGCAAAGCCATGAAAATCTCTCAGCCCTATTCTTCACCTTTAATTCTCAGCTCTTGCTCTGCTTATATTTAGGGGTCACATCAGTCTCACCACTCATATCCCACTTAGATGGATCTGAATCGGGAATTTGTGGCCAGGTAATATGGACAGAAAGTAACTTGGATTCCAAAGTTGGGGATTATGTAAGGACCAAGACCCCTGGCTTAAATTAAGGAGCTCCTCTGTCTACCAGAAACCTACTATTTTAATACTTAACTCCTCCACCTATAGCATCTTAATCAGTAGGGGAAATTGGTAAGGAGTAGTGGAAACATGGGAACAAGAGGCCAGAACCCTGCTTCTTGTAAACTCAAGACTAATCTGAATTCACACTGTGAGTTACCTCTGAGAGGGGAAGGAATGGAAGAATGGAAGGAACACTATTAGTCAGCTCTGTCTTGGCGGCCTGGATCCAACAGTAACTAGCTAAATAAGCTGGGGGAGGTATTTTCCTTTGTCTGAGTCCTAAGTTTCCCGTCTGTTAAATGAGAATGGGCTTAAGGCTGCTTGGAGGAACTAAGTAGGATAATGGCCATAATCCTCTCAGCACAGTGCCTGGCACATGGCACAAGCTTGACAGATATGGGTTGCTCCTGCCCTTTGAAGACATGACTTCCTAATTTCAGTACTGTGGTATAAATAATTCTAATGTTGTGCCCCCAAGATTCCTGTCCTCTGGTTGGTAATCTAGGCATTGTTGTGGAGAAATAGTGCAGATGTAATTAAAGTCCAAAGTCAGTTGACCTTATAATACAGAGATAACTCAAGTGAGCCAGACCAAATCAGTCCCAGCCTGATGAGAATTTGAGCAGAAACCCCAGATGCATCATCCCAGACTCCTGACTATAGATAATTTGTACCACAGCAACCAATAGTTAATAAGGTGCTCTGTGGCTCTAAATTGAGCATCTCAGCCATGGAATCTAATCAGACAGATATAAGCTTTTTAAGTAATACTCAGTGTTGGAATTATAGAACTTTAGAATTTGCAATGACCATATTTATCATGAGCACCAACCTTCTTATCTCATAAGTTTAAAAAAATTAGGTCAGATAGGATAATACAGTGAATTAAGGGCAACTCTGGAATTTACAATCCATTGATTTCTAATTTCACTGTACTATGGTCTGATAATATGCATAGGATAATTTCAGTTCCCTTGCGTTAATTTAAGCATGTTTTATGAGCTAGTATGCGATCTATTTTGGAGAACATCTCATGCATAGCTGAGAAGAAAGTATATTCTGAAGTTGTGGAATGGAAGACTCTGTAGATATCTACTAAATCCATTTGTTCACAGGTTTGGTTCAGTTCTGATATTTCTTTGTTGAGTTTTTGTCTAGTTGATGTGTCTATGTGTTACAATGGGGTATTAATGTCCTCCATTACAATTGTGTTAGTGCTTATTTGATTTTTCATATCCATTAATATGTGTTTTATATAGTTGGGTGCACGGGTATTTGGTGCATATATATTTATGATTGTTATCTCTTCCTTTTGGAGTTTTCCCTTAACAAGTATGTAGTGATGTTCTTTGTCTCTTTTGATCAGTCTCGGCCTGAAGTTCACTTTGTCTGCAAATGAAATAGCTATCCCTGCTTTTTTCCGGGAACTAACATCTTCCCTAATGACTGGCTGCTGAGATTTTTTAGTACTTTCCAACTATATACATTTTACTGTTCATACTACCCTTAATGTACTCTCCAAAGGTGATCTGAAGCTATGAAGAAAATATAGTTTCCCATGTGGCACTCATATTGAAATTATCTGTGCATCTTTCCAAAAATATAGATTCTAGACTGAATCAGATTCTCTAGAAAGTAAGAGCTAGGGACATCAACTTTTCAAAAGCACCCTAGGTGATTGCAGGGCAACAAGGTGTAAGCTACTGCTTGGAACCAGAGCTCAAGGTTTGGGAAAATCAAATATGAACTCTTCAAAGGGATAAAGAGGCATTGAAAGGGAAACCTTGGAATATGGCACTTACCTACCCATTTTACTAATGTTGGCTCCAGCCTCACGCCTGCTTCCTGGAGACATTTGAACCTTGGCTTGGATTTTAGTCATTGTAGCTCCTTTTCCCACTGTCAATGTGAATTCTTACTCAAAACCCTCCTTCCTCCCTAGCCAGCTCTTCTTTTTTTTTAACCAGCTCTTCTTAGCCACTTACCTCCTGTATGCACGCACCCTTGCTGATACACATGCTCCAGGGCTCCCCAGAGTTCTGATTTCATCTTTCTCTTGACATTGCTAGATGCATACTTCCTGGAAGATGACATCCATTCCCAAGATCCTGATTGTGATTCCCATACTCCTGTCACAACCATCCTTTATTCCAAGCTAAAGATCTGTATTTCTAACTGCTTGAGGAAAAAAACCTCTGTTCCAACATGTTTAAAACAGAACTAGTGTCTCCCCATAACAAAATGGCACCTCCTTACTCTCTGTTCACCATCTTTATATTTGATATCAATAGCTTCAGTCTCTTGTTAGAATCCAGAGATTAACTCCCCCTTCTCCATCACCCCAGCATCCTGTCTATTATGGATTTTCATCAATTGTATCTCTTGAATCTCTCCCTTAAACCCATAGTTTCTCCCAAACCCTACCTTCTCTCCCTCTTTACCACCTCTCCACCACCTCTCCCTCAGATCCACACCTGACCACATCCCATCTCTCTTCTCAAGTATTGCAACAGCTTCTTCACAGATTCTCTCCTCTCGTACTCATGCTTAGTGATTTGTAAAATTTTTAAAAAATTAAACCTGAGAGACACATATTGGGAAAAGCTAGAGAAATACTTTGGGAGGAACATGCAAGGGAAGGATTTGGAGGGGCCAAGGCAGTAAGCATGGGTAGCTTTCTGTGGCTCTGAATCCACAATAATGGTGGCCTCAACCGACACTCACCCTTCCCTTATATTTAATGCTCAGTCACCAAGAGCACCTCCAAACAAGAATGGCTACAGCTTCTCTGCACCTACTTTTGATTTTCTTCGCATATGATGCAGAAGTCTGCTCCAAAGAGAGGGAGAGAAGCATCAGCAAAGTTATGTTCCTCCAGGAAAATGTAGGACAGTGGAGAGGAAGGTGCCTGTGTGGGAGAAGAGGAGCAGAAATTAACCGCAATCCAGAAAGAGACCCAAAATGTGTGCAGATGAGGCTTAAAGAGAATTTACTAGATCCCCTTAGTTCACAGATAAGAAAACTGAGGTCCAAAATGGGGAAGAGATTTTTCTGAGCCCAGCTGGTGAACCAGGGCAGGCCTAGAACATTCATTCCAAGAAGCTCCTGGGGCTGCACATCCTACACAGACATTTGCCCATTGTGCTGCTCCTAGGTAAGAGATCACATTTGAATGACCACAGGATTTTCTGGGCATAGCTTGAGGGTTGGTTTGCTCAGAGTCAATCTCGGGGCAAGCTCAGACATTAGTGGGCGCCTTTTCTTTACTCCACTGGAGACGGAAACAGACAGTGTGAGATTTTCTGGGAGGCCTGAGCAGACTCTACTGGGTCTTGGTACCTCAAAAACAAAAATGATCCCAGATGACCTTGAGTTAACAAAGAGATTCCTCTTATTCCTTCTGGGGATATCTAAGTCTAGAATCCTATGATACTCCCAGACAACCCAATAAACAGTCTTCCCCCGCCCACTGAAGCTCTCCATCTTCCACATGTGTCTTCATGACCTATTATATTTTTTATTGTAAGACATGAAGAACTAATAATGCCTTACCGTATTAACTCTTAGAGTAAATACATTTCAAAAACAGTGAGGGGGCGAGAGAGAAAAAAGTGGGAAGAAAGGGGCAAGGAGAGGTCTTCATGCCAGTACATGCATGTAATCTGTATTGGTAGCACTTCAGACACTGAAAAAGCTATAAAGATATATTTGAGTAGCATTTGCCAGAGCTCAGGGGCCTGTAGATTAGAAAAAATAAAATAGGAACCTCATTAAGTCTTCTAGTTAATCCTGATAGAAGGAGTTAAAAACAAACTTTATTAGAGAAATTTCCCTGGGAAGCAGGTCAAGGATATGCATAGAGAAAAACCAGATAAAGAAAGACACCAAATGGCCTTGGGACTTGCACCAAGAGGCAAAAAAAAGAGCTGACAGGCAGGACCCAGAGACAAAGCCAAGAGCACAAACCGAAAGCCAATAAATATAGGGGAAGCAAAAGGAATAATTAACTTTAAGACAGTATGTACTCACACCTATGCACTAAGATATATGTGTGTGTGTGTATTCACTCTAGAGTCACTATATTATTCACTCTAGGGTAATTATAGAGTATAATGCATATTCACACACCCCCTTACCAACTCTACGCCAACCATGAAAAGATGAACTTGCCAGCTAGCCACCACCCCAAAGGTAAGGCCTTAAAAGGCAGGTCAAGGACAAGTAAACAAACAGAAAGAAGCTGCATGTCGACCACTGGAAGAAATAACGATAGACAGAGATGCCCAGAAGCCAATCTAGCTATGGCAAGTTCCGAGGTAGAGTAGGAGAAGTCACTCACCCCCCTATAAAAGCACCTGGGAACAAGGGGCCCATCTTTGTTCCCACCTTTCTGGAGCCCCCTACTCTGATGGTTTCTTATCAGGGTAGCTTTCTATCTTTTCCATTCCTCTCCCTTCTTTTTTCTCTTTACAAATAAAATGTCTTCTTTTCACCAAACTTTGTCCCTCTAATTTTTCTTTTTTTTTTTTATACTGGGGATTGAATTCTGGACCTTGTGCTTTCAAGGCAGGCATGGTGCCACTGAGCTAAATCCCCGACCCTCCTCTAATTTTTCAATGGGGCTGAGTTTACCATCCCAGTGAGCTACTTAGACGGCAGAGCAGTGGTGCTTGTTTTCCAGCTGCATCATCTTTGGTTCCCTGACCAGGAGCCACACACGACATTCTGAAACTCTACTATGTGGTTAACTAACAGTAAAGATTTGTGGCAATTTAGTCTTCTACCCTTTCTTCCAGAATTCTAATGCCATATTCTCCCCCATATTTTACAGTAGTACCTGGAATCTTTAATAATGGAAATTATAACCCCAAATCAGTGATCTTGGTTTCAGTCTTAACTTAGTCACTTATCGTAGATCCTTAGTTTCCTCACCTGGAAAATGGAAATAATGCAACTAACTTGGTAGATTTGTTGTTACTATGCGGTTAAGATGAGAGAGAATAAAGATTTAATGCAGCAATGTAGAATGGTAGAAAATTTGGTGTTTGGAGTTAGAGCTGAGTTCACGTCCTGAATCTATCATTTCCCAGCTGTGTGGTTTGGGCTCAGTCTCAAACTCACTAAGCTTCCATTTTTCATAAAGAAAATAATAACATCTACCTCAGAGACCTGAGAATTAATTGAAGTATTGTAGTAAAGCATGGTAGCTGACATATAACAGTGCTTAATATATTTTAGACAGGAGATAAATTATAAAACCATGAATACCAAAAATAGTACTCATTTTTAGTACTCATTTTTTAGCTTTTGAGTCTGTAGTCAGAGAGTGTGAATATCATTACTTCACATCCTCTAAACGACCTCTATGGTGCTTAAAATTCTTATGATCAAAGTATCCTTTTGCTTTGTAATTTAACCTAGTTATACCTATTAGCCCATTTTTAAGAATTAGTTTGTCAGATAACCCTGTAGACCGTTAGTAGAAAGAAGAGCTCCTGAGATAGATCTGGAAAGAGAAATACAGATAACAAAATTTCCAAATGTAATAGAAGATATTTAGTCATAATTTTAGTATATGTGTATCCCATGCAATATAATAAATATAGTTATACAAAAATTATTTATTGTTCATCTGACATTCAAACTGTACTCGTCACCTGTATTTTTATTTTCTAAGTCTGGCAAATTTAACGCAAAATGAAACCAAAGGCTTCACCGGTTAGACACAAGACAGATCTTGTGAGATCAAGTGAATATGATTGGAGAGTTGTCAGGGAGGGGTGGGATGGGAGTGAGGCTACAGAACTAGAACAGGCCTGGAATCCATTTGCACAAAGGCGATGAAGAAATGGCAGTTTCATGAGGAATGAGGAGAATTTGCTTGAAGTTCATGTTCCATCATCAACTCACTATGTCAACATGAGCTACTTTCACCTCAGTTTACCCATTTGAAAGATGAATGGATTTGACTATATCAGTCATAGCAGTTTAAAAATTAGCATTTACACCTTGTTCACACAATGCATTTGAGATCCATTTATGTCATTCTGTGCTGTTCACTTCCTTTTCATTGCTGAGCTGTCCATTGTATGGATGTACAAGGGTTGCTAATCCATTCACTAGTTAATGGACATTTGAGTGGTTGCAATTATGAATAAAGCCAGTACAAACATCTCCATGTGACTTTTTGTATGAATGTTTGTTTTCATTTCTCTTATGTAAATACAGGGAATAGAATTGCTGCATTATGTGGTAAGTGTGTGCTTATAAGAAGCTGCCAAACTGTTTCAAAAAGGGGCTGTACATTTTGCCTTTTCACTAAAAGTATATGAGGATTCTACCTACTCCACATACTTGTAGCACTTGGTATTGTAAATGTCTGTATTTTAGTTATTCTAATACATGTGTAATGGTAAGACTGTGTGTTATTTTAATAGATGAAAATATTTAGCCTACATTTCTGGATTGATAAGAGTCTAAATCACTTTAAATATGGATGGGGAGATTTTTTTCCTCTTTCACAACTGCCCCTGGGACGATTTTCAAACCCAGTGGGCTCCTTGGTTCCTGAGCCTGGTTGACAGGACTTTATCATCCAATTAAAAAGCTTCTGCACAGCAAAAGAAACAATTAGCAGAATGAAGAGGCAGCCTACAAAAGGGAAAAAATCTTTCCCAGCTACTTTCCTGACAAAGGAGTCCCATCCAGAATATATAAAGAACTTAAGAAACTTAACAACAAAAAAGCCCTGATCGATAAATAGGCAAAATAACTAAACAGACACTTCTCAAAAGAAGTACAAGTGGCCAATAATTAGCCATTAGAGAAATGCAAATCAAAACTACTTTGCTATAAATGTCTCTAATTTCTCATTTTTTATGGCTGAGTAGTACTCCATTTTATTTAAAAAATCACATTTTCTTTATCAAGTCTTCAGTTGATGGGCATTTGGGCTGTTTCCAAGTTTTAGCTATCACAAACTATGCTGCTATGAACATGGGTGCACATAT